TCTTAATCTTAACTTGTGGGGATAGGGAAATAGGACAGTCTCAGGCTATGTATGTTCCACTAGATCAAGGAATTTCAAAGCCAGTTTGCTATCTCGTGCACAAATTCATTTTCCTAATTCCATCAAACAGATATTTCTGCCTAACTTCTTTCCATTCCCAACCCACTCCAAGGAATGTACTTGACTCAAATTAAATGTGTGTAGCTCAGAGAATTTACTTAAATGTACCTTAGAGGGACAAAGAACATCTTGTCTCCTACAAACAGGAAATATGGGGAATTCAGTTTCCTGCTTCACAATTAATGGAGTGGGAGAGTGTGGTATTCACAACTAGCAAAATATAACCCTCTTGCTTCTTCATAGCTCTGTTGGACATTTATAGATTATTCACAGATTTATAGGATAGCTCCAGCAGAGAGCCAGCTACGATTATAAAATATTTTAAATAGGTAAATTCTCTTCCTCAGATTTCAGCCATGCTGGATCACAAAGGGTTCTCTATATTGATCTACCTTGCAGGAAGAGCATTTAAGTATCAAATCCATCTTCTGATGACTAGAAATATAAATCTTTTCCCTAACTGGTTTTTCTGATGGGAAAGTGAAGCATTCAAACAAGAGTTTATAAGACAGCACAGTTAGTAAGATTACATTATTCTACTTGGAATATAAACATTATTATTAACAACATGACTGTTCATAATCAGCTGCCATTTTGTTTTTATATAATGTCCCGGAGTGGAAGAGTTCCAGAAGATTTCATATTTCAGTCTGCAGTTTATGGGCACTGAGAAGTTGTGGATATACAACTTAATATAAAAGAAAAGGGGGGGGGGACTCACCAGCTATTTTACAATTCTGGAAAGAGACATTAGCCTAAACGGTATCAATGAACACATCTGGCCCTGCCTTTTTTCTGGGATTATTGGGCACTGCCAGGGTTTTCTCACAAACTTGGTGAACCATCAATGAATATTTGGGCTGCAGTTCAATTGAACTTAAGAGATCTTGTACTTCAGGCATAACTGATTAATAACAATCTCTGCTGTCATCGTTTAAAAGTATAATGTTGATTGCTGGCTGAAAGCATTTTGGAAGAGATTCGGATAAATTCGTGTTGGAGGAAGTTGTGCTGATGGATTTTGGCCACAGCATCTCAGTAAATTTCTGTTTGGATGGTGGGTTCTTTGAAAACCAGTTGCTGAAAATAAGCAGTAGGTAGAGGCTAGTAACATTATTGCATTTTTTATGGCCTGCCTAAGAAACCCAATAGATCCTTTAAATTTCATGGATGAAAGGCAAGATATGGACAGCACAAGTTAAAATGCAATTGGCTGCTGTTGGATACAGAATAATAAGGGGTTAATAATTTGGTTTCTGACAAGTGTGCTTGATGAAATGCCCAGAATTTTAAAACACGGGCTGTGTGGTTGGATTTTAGAGAAGTTATCCAAAACATCTGGAAGGCACCTGCCTGTTCCTTGAGTCTAATCAAGCAGAATTCTTGTATCCCTTTGTTTGATAGTGTGGAGCATAGAGCAATGATATAAAACATGATTTGTATACAGGTGAGCTATAATTTCTTGCAGTCTCCTTAATTTTTCACAAGATTTTTAAAAATCTTGCCTTCTAAGCTTATTTGTTTTTCTGGTCTCAGTCATAACTTGTGACTAATGGTCACAGGTTCAAATAGGTCTGTCTATCTTTCTGTAATGCTCTTGATGTTGTGATATACAGATGGTCCTTGATTTATAACCTAAATTGGGACCTGGTTTTTGGTTGTAAATCAAGGCACATACATGACTGGACCCAATTTTATGATCGTTTTTACAGCAGATATTAAGCAAATCATGTGGTTGTAAGTGCGAATCACACTGTCCCTAAGCAAATTACTTAGTTGTAAGTGTGAAGCCTTTTCCCAAATGGGTGGTTTCCTCGTCCATTTAGAAAAATAATGATTTATTTATTAAATGTTGCAATTCACAGTTCCAGGGCTGCAGAATCCTACCTGTGGTAAAAATGATCCGGTTGCCTGAAATGGGGTCATGTGTCAGGAAGGGGGGGGCACAGCATTTTATGACAGCCAGAAGTGCATTATGGGCCATAAAGTATCCTTTCTAAGGCCGTGGTAACTCTGAACTGCATTAACCCCCCTATCATAAGTGGGGGACCACCTGTATGTTCAACTTCACAATAGTCTCTTGGAATGTGCAGTTACTCAAGGAACTGAATTGCTATTCAGCTTCTGTAAGGGGAGGAAAGACTTGAGGATGCCTACATAGAAACATGTCCTGGGACATAGAGAAGCTAAGACAGAAAGAACCTTACAAAAGCTAAGCAAAGGTGAGTAATGAATGAAAAGAAAAGGCCAGAGGCCAAAGAAGTTAGAAAAGTGAACAATTAATTAGATATTAGGCAGATACTTTGTATTAAATAAGTAAAGGAAATGGGTGAATGCCCATTTCAAACTATGCAGGAAAGAAGATATGAATACTGGGTGTCAAGAGACTAATTGACTAGCGGAAAGGTTCACAGTATGAAATAATCTTGGGATGTGAAAAGTAAAGCCAAGCAATGGGTCCAGTTTTTTTTTTTTGTGTCAAATGATAAAGCATAGTTTATAAATTATTGAGAAAAACAAATATCTGTAGGGTTATGCAGACTGAACAATGAGGTTAAAGAAAATTAAGAGGTACAACTAGGGGTGCAATAGTGCTTAAAAGTTTGTGAACGCTTTTTGAGTTTTCAATATTTTTGCATAAATATCCCCTAAAACGTGATCTGTTCTCCACACAGATCCTAAAACTAGATAAAGAGAATCCAAGTAAACAATTGAGCCAAAAACACTATACTGTACTTGTTTGTTTATTTATTGAGGAAAATGACCACCACTCTTAAGTAGGGATGCTGCGACGGTCATAAGTGTGAAGACCAGACATAAGTCACTTTTTTTCAGTGCCACTGTAAGTTTGAATGGTCACTAAACAAATAGTTGTAAATCAAGGACTATCTGTATTCTTTGTTCATTTAGGTCAGGGGTCTTCAAACTTGGCCCTTTTATGACTTGTAGACTTCAACTCCCAGAATTCCTCGGCCAGGCACGCTGGCTGAGGAATTCTGGGACTTGAAGTCTACAAGTCATAAAGTTTGAAGACCCCTGATTTAGGTATTTTTTATAGTCTTTGAACCATTGTGTTGCAGACCAGACACAATTGAGCAATTGCAGTAGGAGAAGATAATTTGGTACTCTGAAGGGTTGACCTATCTTGTGGTCTGTTGAAGAGTCTACTCTAGACTTGTCAAACTTGCTGTTCTGCATTATTTGGAATTAGAAACTGCTCCCTGTTCTACAGTAGAACCGTATTTAAAAATAATCTTTGTTTTTGTGTTTCGGTGCCTATGTGCGTTGTACAGATTCTCTTAGTTTAAAATCTAGCTTCATTTTTTTCCTTTAGTTAACTTGTTCAAATACTTACGTTGTTCTTGAGCTAGGCACACAGCTTAGCATTGCTTCCTTTTTAAATGACCAGTTCTTCACTGGAATTTGCCATCTTATTTTTCACTGCCAGTTTTATTTTGATTAAAAAAAAGTAAGTAAAAAGCTATAAATGTACAGGTAGTCCTCTATTTACGATCACAACTGTACCCAAAATTTCTGTTGCTACGCAAAGCAGCTGTTAAGTGACTTTTGCTCCATTTTACGACCTTTTTTGTCACAGTTGTTAAGTGTTAAATCACTGCAGTTGTTTTAAGTGAATCATGCAGTTGTTAAGTGTTGTAACCTTCCCAGCTGGCTTCCCCCGTTGACTTTGCTTATCGGAAGCCGGCTGGGAAGGTTACAAAGGGTGATTACATGACCCCAGGACAGTGCAACTGTCATGAGTACATGCCAGTTGCCAAGCGCCCAAATTTTGATCATGTGATCATGGGGATGCTGCAACGGTTGTAAGTGTGAAAAACGGTCATAAGTCACTTTTTTCAGTGCTTTTATAACTTTGAATGGTCACAGAATGAATGGCTGTAAGTCAAGCACTACCTTTATTGCAATTTGTTACAGTAGTTTGCTTTCAGTGTACTTTGTTGAAATGTCCTTTAAACATTGCCTGAGATATATTTCTGAAAATTGAGAGAGATTATTTGTGGGATTATAATGTAACAGGACTTAATTCAGAGTCATAGGCTGAATCTTAGCAAAAAAGATTATAAGTGTTTAAAGAGTTAGGGGCATTTGACACAGGAGCACAACTATAAAATGATGGCAAATAATATTGCGGTGGAATGTGGCCTGGATTCTCAGGTGAAGAGGAGGTCATTCCAGAGGAATAAAAGACAGTTAAGTATAGATAGTTTGTGCGGGAGAAAGAGAATGAAGATGACTCCTCCCTATTAGTTCCCGGAGTATATTTTTTATGGTGCAAACTGCTTTTTGGGAATCTAGCAAAAATGAAGTGTTTAGCACAGGGTTGCATTGGCTGGCTAAGGAATTCTGAGAGCTGAAGTCCACAGATCATAAAGGGACCATAGTTGCCTACCCCTGGCTTAGCCTCAGCTGTAATAAAATAGTAGTCAGAGAAGGGAGGAAACAGTTTGTATATTCTATTTTTCTTCAGCTGAGCTTGGTGATGCCTTTAGATTTTTTTCAGCTTTATATACATTGTGATGGACATGGCAGTGAAGAAATAATGCTTTTTCCTGCATCAGTCTTCCTCTTCATTTATTCTTTGTTATAGCTTGTATTATCAACTGAATCTCTAGGGTGACTGTAGCTACTTAAATGACAAATAGTGTTGTTCAGTTGTGTGTTTTCTTTTTTCTTTTTCCCTTGGCAGATGTGGTCCTTGTTTGAGGGTAGCTCCTGCTTTCAATGCTCTGAGCAATAAATATCCCCAAGCAACATTTTTGGAAGTTGATGTACATCAGTGCCAGGTATGTAATGCTATGTATGTGTATTTGGCTGCTTAAGAATGAACAACTGTCACAGATTTAGAAACGATAAATAAATTTCATTTAGAAATCCACTGACTTCAATAAACATAATTACCATAATGAAAGACTATAGATTTATATATCAGGAAGTCAGTCATGGCTTATTATTGATAAAACTCTTTAAAAATTATATTAACTATCCAACGGTCCATGTATTGTTGGGTAAAATTTCTACAATAAATTGTCTAACTCATCCTTGCTGCCACAATAAGCTTGCAAGCTACTCTGTTAGCTGTTGTGTGGAATCTCTTAGTTTATTTAAATAGGCCAACTTGACGAAACCTAGTTAAGAGTAATCACAGTTAATCACATTTAAGAACACAACAGTTTGCAGTCAGAAATGAACGTATTTAGTCTTTTAACTTCTGCAGTAGAGTACTGTGCCCAAATAATGGGATTATATTATATTCCAAAAAGAAACAATTTCCTAATGTGGGTACTGAACCACACAATTTTGCTAGTGATCCTAAACCACCCCACCTTCCTGGAGTGCACAGGGCAAGTTAGGCAAGTCTGTCTATGTGGAGAAGGTGATCCTTTTAAGTTCCTGTTAGGACCTTGGTGGCACAGCAATTAGAATGCAATATTGCGGGCTAACTCTGCCCACGGCGAGATGTTCGATCCTGACCAGCTCAAGATTGACGCAGCCTTCCATCCTTCCGAGGTTGCTAATTGATAGGGGCAATATGCTGGCATTTGTAAACTGCTCAGAGAGGGTTGTAAAGCAATATGAGTGGTATATAAGTCTAAGGGCTATTGCTAAGTTCCTCAGTGTCAGGCCATATTGGGCTTTATAGATTACAGTCAGCACTTCGAATTGTATCTGGAAACATGGAAACTAATTGGTAACCAGTGCAGCAATTGTGGGATAAGTGCTATAAAAAGTCACTTTGGTCTAGCACAGGGGTAGGCAACCTTGGTTCTTTTATGACTCGTGGACTTCAACTCCCAGAATTCCTGAGCCAGCATGGCTCAGCTTGGAAACCTCTCCCTTTCCCCTCAGCATGGCTGGCTCAGGAATTCTGGGAGTTGAAGTCCACGAGTCATAAAAGAGCCAAGGTTATCTACCTCTGGGTCTAGGGCTTAAGCACCAGGCTAGAAACCAGGAGACACTGAGTTCTAGTCCTGACATAGGCATGAAAGTTGGCTGGGTGACCTTGGGCCAGTCTCTCTCTCAGCTTGTTTTGTGGGGAAAATAGGAGGAAGGAAGAGTATTAGATTTCTTTGCCATCTTGATAACTTATAAAAAAAATAAATACACTCTGAATTGCTAATGTGCCAGCCAGTTTATTTTGTACCAATTACCGTTTCCAAGTGCTCTTCAAAGTCGGTCCTTGTAGAGCACACTGCACTGATCCAAGAGAGTAATAAGTGTGCAAATGACTGGCGAGGGCCTCCTGCTGCAGGTAGGGTCACAATTGGTACACCAGCTGCAGCTGGGCCAAGCTCCCCCCTCCTAGCCTCCAGCTGCCTTTTAAACTGTTTCTATGCTGTGCTAATTACTGGTTTTCTTTCTCAATGTTAGGGGACAGCTGCCACTAACAATATATCAGCAACTCCGACATTTCTTTTCTTCCGGAACAAAGTGCGAATTGATCAGTATCAAGGTGCAGATGCTGCGGGATTGGAAGATAAAATCAAACAGCATCTAGAAAACGATCCTGGAATCAACGAGGATGGCGATATTCCAAAGGGATACGTATGTGCATCTTATTTGAACCTTATTTTAATCGACTGATATACTGTACATATACTATGTAACGTTTGTCTGCGGTGCAATGTTTGTATACAAACGTGTGCTGTTTTTTTCAACTTCAAAGGTTTCTGAGATTTTTCTCTCCATTGCTAAAAACAATTTCAGAAAATTAGAACATTTTCAAAACAGTCTCCAGTACAGCATCATAAGCTGCAATCAGAAATGCAGAAAGTTATGTATGTATGTGTGTGTGTATATGTATGTGTGTATGTAAGGCCTGATCTTTATGCCATTCTTTGCTGGTATTTCTTTCAATGATTTTCTCTGAATATACAACCTTTGTTTTTATGGCCTGTAAGATTGATGGATAATAATGCCATTTTATTGAGAATTGGATCTATTGAAATTCTTGTGAAAGACTAATTCACCCAAAAAATCTGTTTGGTAGCATTAACCCTTAAATATTTACAGGGTTAGGTTGTTCTTTTTTGGGGGGGGGTTGTTTATTTTTTGTTAAATTTGGGGCACTGTCCACTTGATGTATCTTGGCTTGAACAGGCATCCTGAAAGCAGTTAGCACTCTCCTTATAATTCTGTTGGAAGTCCAGAGAGGAATTTATTTCCAGTGGACTATATGTCCTCTGATAATGTGATTCTCCTTGACGTGCCCAACTCAATATCTTTTGCCATCATTATGTTTTGTAATAGTTACAGATGACACTGGATGGAGTTAAAGTGCTTAAAGCTTACACTGACTCAGAGTGAATGGGAGTGTTATTTATTTATCAAATTTATATGCTTTCATATAAACAATGAGAAGCAGGCAGAAGAATACAGTAGTGAAAATGAATATTAGTCACCTGGACATGATAACTATTGAACAGAAAATTTTAAAATAAAATAGAAGCAAAGCATGAATTAGAATCCTCATTGGGATTCTTCATTTTATCTATTTTGCTTTTTTCTAAAAAACAGTTTTAGTATCAAGGAATATTTGAAAGCTATATCATTCTTTCCCTCCGAATGCCAATTGTTGGACATGTTTTTTCTCATTCAGCTGCAGACATAACCATGCTCAAGTGAGCAATGCTTAAGGATGCTGAAGTGCATGCTTTATTTTTATAATCGCTTTCCGACCATTCAGGATATATTACTATAAACTGAACAGATGGTGGCTTAACTAAACACTTATTCATAAAAGAATGGAAGGAATATGACTACCATATACCGTATTTTCCGGCGTATAAGACGACTTTCTAAACCCTGAAAATCTTCTCAAAAGTCGGGGGTCGTCTTATACGCCCAGTCGTCTTATACGCCGGAAAATACGGGTATTCAGGCAGGCTTCCAGAGTTCGGCTGGCAGGATGCAGGTAACCCCTCCCCCCGTCCTGCCGCCTCCCGCCGCTCCGCGTCCCGCGCCTCCGTGTCTCAAGCCTCTGTGTTATGCTTGGGCGGAAGACTTTTTCTTTTACAGATGGGGCGGGTGGGCCTGACATTCGCGCGTAGGCAGGACCCCGCCCGCCGAGCCACCGCTTCCCCATCACCCTCCACGCCAGCCTGCTCCGTCTCCAGACCTCCCAGCTGACGGGCGCAGGTCCGGGGGTTGCCAGCTGACGGGCGCAGGAGTTCGGCGCTGCAGCGGCCTCCGCTTCGCCCTCCGCACCGGCCAAAGCGTTGCCTGACGTTTCGGCCGACGGACGCAGGT